TCGCGAGCCAGAGTAGTCCAGTGAATCGCACTCGCTCGAGGGACACGGGGCAGAACATTCCTTTCGTTCAGAGCTTTCGTGAAGAAGTCTGACCATCTCGTTGGCGGCCGTCCTGGTGTTCGCTTGACGTCCCGAGGGACCCAGTCCGTAACCGCCCTGGTCCAACGGTCATCATTAAATCGCATAACGCGTCCAGCCCACCTGATCTTCGATCTCTTGGCGTAATCAACGGCATCCCTGATCTTCGTTCGTCGACGGAGCTCGGAACTCCGGATTCCCTTCTGCACTTGCGTGTATAGGGAAATTCCGAGCATCGTCCTTTCCACAGCGCGATGAATGACGCTAACTGCATGCTCATCCTGCTTTCGTAGAGTCCAAGTCTCTGAGGCGTATGTCAAAGCAGGAAGGACCGCAGCGTCGAAAAGGTGAGCGCGGAGCCGGATGTTCTTCGTTTTCTTCACTACTCCCTCGATGTTCTTAAATAAAAAAAAATGATACAGTACGTGGGCAAGTGTTGAAAAGCCAGTTTTTGTTTGAGCTTATTGTTCACGGAGTTGAGCGTGAGCTTACCCTGATTCTCAACAAGGTGCGATGATTATACAGATTCTTTGCTGCCATTATGTCTCAAGAAAGAATTACTTCGCGGCACCATCACGTTAACAATACACTGTCTCGCAATGAACACCGCACGTTATGGGGGTCCGAAAAACTTTGAGAAAATTCAGCTAGTTTGACAACTCACAATAACTACGGCGACAAACTTCGATCAGTGATCACAACACTGGCCCTTCTCGCCACAATGTCTCTCTATCAACCAAACAGGGCATTGATGCCATTCCTTCAATATGAAGAGAGGCGCCCCCATTTTCATTTTTCATTTTCATTCATCCACCACCTACTCGACTTCTCGACAATTGGTGAATTCTTTCCCTTTGGAGCAGATCTGTGTGCTTCTGAAAGTATGGCAGTAATATGGATTGAGGTCGGGTGAATATGTGGGGTGTGGGGTAGCCAGGCCATACTCAATCTTTCCAGCTCACCCATCGACGTCCTTGCCGGGGTGGTCGAGCATTATCCGTTGCAATCGAAGATTCCGCTATGAAATGGGAGCTCGAACACCTCTCTCTCAGCCGGCAACAGAATATTCCTGCATTTACTGCAGCACACTCTGGTAGGATCTTCCAGTAAATTTCCGGCCGAGCAAAGTAAGAATAGGCTCATGTCGCTTTTGGCGTGAGCGCATCGCATCATGGCGGGCTGTGGTCTTACATACGCTGATAGAAATTTCAATTTCTTGTGTCTACTTTCACATAATTCCTCTTTTTTTATCCTCGGCTAATGTCGTCGTTGCAGTCGAGGAGCGCCTGACACACTCTGACTCGCACTCGAGCTGCTGCTCAGCCAAAGAATGGGCGATATTTGCAGAGTCCTACTTTGAAAGCAACCTTTGCGTAGAGCGTCATTAATGATAGAATAGTGAGTACACATCGTCTATTCCATCTCCTGGGACTTTTAGCAGGATCGCTCGGACGGAAATCCAGAACAGTTTCGGTATTTGAGGACAGTGAAAGTCCGCTTCGACAAACTTCGTCGAGGCAAATCTCTTTTAAGAGGAAGGAATCGTGCCATTTATGGTAAGTGACAGGAGAGGGTCTCTGCTGCCAAACACTCACCATATCTCATTCCAAGCCTGAGTGTCGAGACGATTAATTTCGTAATGGTGAAGCAGAAGGATCCGGTAGACGTATTCATGGCCCATCCTTTGGTCTACGATTACTTACTTCGAACGACCATGTCAAATACCGGTCAACTATAGTATTGATCTATCAACAATGCCTCTTTCCCTCTTTTCGGATCTAAATTCCTTCTTTAAGGCGTTGGCGAGCAACATGGTTTCAAAATTGAGAAGCAAAATTTTCTCAAAACTTTCCGGACACCCGTAATAGGCATGAGCACAGCTTTGAGGTCTCACACTCACGAGTAAGTAACATTATTGTCATTTTTTTAGAAATGGCAATTCTCCGGTTAGTAAAGATTTATTATCTTACTACTGTGGCGGAATGCAGAGTGCTTCTTCGCTGTCGCATTTGCATTTGTCGCAGTTGCAGTCCTTATCCTCTTTGCATGGTTCACCAATCTCATAAATTAGAGAACCGAGGTAGTTTCCTCTGAAAATCGGCTGTCGAATGGGGTGATATGAAAATCTTGCGCTGCACAAATACGCTTACGCTCGAGCATATTCACATCCCACCAAAGTCATGTCTTTACACCATACAACTGCGCAACCGACTTTCTTGCTCCACTGCCAGACTACCTAAAACGATGCATGTATTCCTTTGATTGGTATCACTGTTTAGAGGTTTCTATATCACCTGACTGTAGTGACCAACTCCATGATTGAAAACTTCCATGGTGAGTCTGTTTTCCTTTG